GCCGAGGCGGGCAGATCACCTGAGGTTGAGAGTTTGAGACCAGGCTGATCAACATGGAGAAACCCCGTCTCTACTAAAAATACAAAATTAGCCGAGCATGGTGGTGCATGCCTATAATCCCAGCTACTCAGGAGGCTGAGGCAGGAGAATCGCTTGAACTCAGGAGGCAGAGGTTGCAGTGAGCCAAGATCGTGCCACTGCACTCTAGCCTGGGCAATAAGAGTGAAACTCCATCCAAAAAAAAAAAAAGCCCATAGGATAGTAAGAATCACACTATAGCAACAAATCTCAAGCCCAGCTTTACTCAGAGAAACACAAACCTCTGTACTAAAGGCCTAGTAAAAGAAAAGGCATGTCAGCTGCAGACATAAAATCTACTTATCTCAGTTTCTATGGTTCTACATAAGATGTCCAGTTTTCAGCCCCCAGAATTAGCCGGGGGTGGTGGTGGGCTCCTATAATCCTAGCTACTTGGGAGGCTGAGGCAAGAGAATCGCTTGAACCCAGGAGGCGGATGTTGCAGTGAGCAGAGATTGTGCCATTGCACTCTAGCCGGGGCAACAAGAGCGAAACTCCGTCTCAAAAAAAAAAAAAAAAAAATTACTGTCAAGACCAATGTCGAGGACATTTTCCCCTATGTTCTCTCCTCAGAGTTTTATGATTTCAGGTCCTACTTTTAGGTCTTTTATCTATTTTGAGTTGGTTTTTTGGTGTAGTGTAAGATAATGGTCCAAATATCATTCTTTTGCCTGTAGAAATTCTGTTTTCCTGGAACCATTTAGTGAAGAGATGATTTTTTCCTCAGTATGTCCTCTTGGTGCCCTTTTCAAAAATTAGCTAACCATGAATGTTTGGATTTATTTCTCGGAGCTCTATTGTGTTTCACTGGTCTATGTTTCTGTTTCTGTGATGGTGCCATACTATATTGATTACTATAGCTTTGTAATATAATTTTAAATCAGGATGTGTGATGCTCTGTGTTCATTGCAGCATTATTTACAATAGCTAAGATATGGAAACTTAAGTTCTATTATGATCCTAGTCACTCTTTTTTCAACCCCTCCCTTCACTTCTTGTATCCCTCTCTCCCTTCCTCCCTCTCCTTCTCTCATTCTTCATTTCCAATATAAATGGAACTACCATATGATCCAGCAATCCTACTACTTGGTATATACCCAAAGGAAAAAATATCAGTATATAGAAGACATCTCTGCATCCCTTTGTTTATTGAACCAGTATTCACCACAGCAAAAATATGGAATCAACCTAAGTGTCCATCAACAGATATATGGATTTAAAAAGTTGTATATATACACATTTAAATACTATTTGGGGCCGGGTGTGGTGGCTCACACCTGTAGTCTCAGCACTTTGGGAGGCTGAGGCAGGTGGATCACCTGAGGTCAGGAGTTTGAAACCAACAAGGCCAACAGGGTGAAACCCCATCTCTACTAAAACTACAAAATTATCCAGGCATGGGGTTGCATGCCTGTAATCCCAGCTATTTGGGAGGTCGAGGCAGGAGAATCACTTTAACCTGGGAGGCGGAGGTTGCAGTGAGCTGAGATCATGCCATTGCACTCCAGCCTGGGCAACAAGAGTGAAACTCCATCTCAAAACAAAACAAAACAAAACAAAATAGAATTTGGCCACATAAAAAAAGGAAATCCTGTCATTTGCATTAACATGGATGGAACTAGAGGTCGTTATGTTAAGTGAAGTAAGTCAGACACAGAAAGACAAATATGTCACTCATATGCTCAGCTTAAAAGGTTGATCTCATAGAAGTAGGGTAGAATGATAGCTACCAGAGGCTGGGAAGGGTGTGTGAGTAGTAGGGGGATGAACAGAGGTTGGCTGGTGGGTTCAAACATTCAGTTAGGCAGAAAAAATAAGTTCTAATGTTCTATAGCAGAGTAGGGAGACTACAGTTTATAACAATGTATTATATAAACAGCTAAAAGAAGGGACTTGAAATGTTCCCAAAACATAGAAATAATAAATATTCGAGGTAATAGATACATGAAGTACCCTGATTTGATTATTATATATTATATGCATATAACAAAATATTGCCTATACCCCATCAATATGTATTAATATTACATATCATTTAAATGTTTAAAAAAACGGAGCCTTGGAGAGGTGATTAGGTCATACGGCTCCACCCATATGAATAGGACTACTGCATTTATAACAGAAGTTTGAGCGACACTGTTTGCTTCTCCTGCCATGTGAGGACACAGCTAGAAGCCATTTTTGAAGCAGAGAGTAAGCCCTCACCTAACACCAAACCTGCTGGTCCTTTGATCTTGGACTTCCCATCCTCTAAGAACTGTGAGCAATGCATTTCTATTGTTTATAAATTACCAAGTCTAATGTATTTTGTTATAGCTGCCCAAACAGATACTTGCTAAAGGATTTGTTGCTAGTTTTTCTATAACAGATTAATGTTTGACTAATTGGCTTTTGGGATCTCTTCTAATTCTAAAATTTTATGTTTTAGTGTCATGTGAACAAAGGAGTATTAACCATGATTTGATATACAACACAGCCCAAAGATAAAATGGAATGAGCATAGGCCAATGGTTCAGTCTCTGAGAAACTCCTCTCAGAGGATGATTATTTATGAAAAGCAATGACAGGCCGGGTGCAGTGGCCTGTAACCTGTAATCCCAATACTTTGGGAGACTGAGGTGGGTAGATTACCTGAGGTCAGGAGTTCGAGACCAGGCTGGCCAACATGGTGAAACCCTGTCTCTACTAAAAAAATACAAAAGTTAGCCGGGCATGAAGGTGGGTGCCTGTAATCCCAGCTACTTGGGAGGCTGAAGCGGGAGAATCACTTAAATCCAGAAGGCAGAGGTTGCAGTGAGCTAAGATTGCGCCACTGCACTCCAGCCTAAGCAACAGAGCCAGACTCCATCTAAAAAAAAAAAAACTTGCTCTAACCTCACACTCAGTAAAGCAATCAGCAAGCAGTCATCCAACCATTTGCTAAAATAACTTCATTAAAAAATTATTTATTGTCAGTACCTACATTCTGCAAACATATCCATCAAAACAGCACTGTTCTTCTCACTTATTGGGAGATTCAGAAGTTTTACTTTGAATTTCTTTGGTGTTAAATAGAAATAGTCTTTTGCACTGCTAATAAGGTCGTCGGACCCAAAAAACATGTATTAATTATCTAAATCACCATTGATATTTAACTCCAATTAGTATAAAAGCTAATTCATGCCCAAACATAACAAACAAGACTTTATCATCTATGCCTACATCAGTTTACCAAGTCAATATTTTTAAGCTATATAATCTTACTGAAGTACAAAATGCAGAGTTATATTTGAAAGATATACTTAACTGTATCTCCATCAGCAGATATTTGTGTGGGCATATGCATTGTTCTTTCTGCCATGCTACACTAAAAGACCTGGAAATTAAAAAAAAAAAAAAAATTTTAATTACTTACAAAAATTACTTACTTAATTTTTAATTACTTAAAAATTTAATCTTACGACATAATTTAGATCAATTAGGGGACATAATATAGGTATTTTCGCAAGCTTTAGTTTTTAGTTCACACTATTAATCTGTTTTAAACTGTGACTGTCTTGCTAGATGGGCTTGTATATGATGAATAGTATGTAATATTCAACTTATAATGTAGAGTAATACATTTGACCATAAGCACATAAAAAGCACCTTAAAGTTAAATTCCCTTTGGAAATCAAGAGAATAAGAGCACTCTTCTTCTTTAAATGACTCTACGGTCATAAGAAAGGAAAGTAGAAAATTTTGCTTTAAAAAATAGTTAAAAAAAAAAAAAAAGCAAGACATTCATAAGCACTTAACTTTCCAGAGTAGCATACCAGAGGAGGCTTGAGCATTTGAATTCACCCATTGAAGGAGAATTGTGAAAGCAGACCTTAAAAACTCTAAACAAGTCCTTTAGACACTGAACTAAAATACTGATAATTCTCATTTATGAAGCATCTATTATGCACCCAGCATTGTGCTAAGGGTTTATGTGCTTTATTTACCTCTGTTAGTCCTCATAGTAGATCTGAGATACATGTATTTTCATTGCCATATGCCAGGTGAAAAAATTCAGACTCAGAAAGATTAAGTAACTTACTTTCCCCGGGATTCAGCTGTGCAGCAGACACAGGTTCGAACTGATTCCAAGCTGGTGTCCTTTCTACTGTCCCCAGTTGTGGACCAAATAAACATTCACTGTATTTGTAACAGTTGGGAACAGGGAGGAGAAGTACAAGAGAGCGTGCTGTGCTCATCTCCAAGCAGAACTGCCTGAGAAGGCCATACTACCCTACTTTCGAACACAGCACAAAGATACTAAGAATATGAGGCATGTTTCAAAAGGAAATAGTATATATTTGTAAAGCAAGTATTTGAAATATTTGAGAAGCAAACAGAATCAAAGAATGGTTCTGTGCCATAATCTCTTCACTTGCTCTATCCTGAGGATTATTGCACTTTAGTATACAAATGTGTATCATTTTCCCTAAAATTAAACAATGTTTTCTGATATGGATAGAGTTCTGTTTTGTGGTATAGTTTAGTCCAGTATGTATGAAGGTTTTTTTTATTTATTTATCAGAAACTTAATGGTGGACATTGTAGTAATTTCCAGCCTTTTTTTTTTTTTTTTTTTTTTTGAGATGGAGTCTGACTCTGTCAACAGGCTGGAGTGCAGTGGTGCAATCTCGGCTCACTGCAAGCTCTGCCTCCCGGATTCACACCATTCTCCTGCCTCAGCCTCCCTAGTAGCTGTGACTACAGGTGCCTACCACCACACCTGGCTAATTTTTTGTATTTTTCATAGAGACGAGGTTTCACCGTGCTAGCCAGTATAGTCTTGATCTCCTGACCTCGTGATCCACCCACCTCAGCCTCCCAAAGTGCTAGGATTACAGGCATGAGCCACCATGCCTGGCCAGTAATTTCTAGGTTTTAATGGAAATCAGCAACAAACATTGTTGATTTAAGTCAACAATGTTTGGCCAGACACAGTGGCTAACACCTATAATCCCAGCACTTTGGGAGGCCAAGGCAGGAGGATCACTTGAGGCCAAGAGTTTGAGACCAGACTGGCCAACATGGCAAAATCCTGTCTCTACTAAAAATACAAAACTTAGCCGGGCATAGTGGTGCAGGCCTGTAATCCCAGCTATTCAGGAGGCTGAGGCACAAGAATTGCTTGAACCCAGAAGGTGGAGGTTGCAGTGAATCAAGATCCCGCCACTGCATTCCAGCCTGGGTGATAGAACAAGACTCTGACTCAAAAAATAAATAAATAATGTTTATTTGAATCAACAATAAATATTGTTTTTGAAATACTGTGGTAATTTGAAGTAAATTACTACAAATTCAATTAATTTGAAGTAAATTACTACTACATTATACAGCGTATCTCTGTATAATGACTAAATTTTTGGCAAATCTGCCAAAAACTATTTGAAAACTAGAGACGCAACTTATCTTGTATTTAAAAGCCTAATTAAGTGTCTTAAACAAATAGGGGTTTATTTCTTTCACATAAGTCTGGAGCAGAAGTTCTCAAAGTATGATCACCGGGCTCTGAGGATTCCTGAGACTCTTTGGGGGGACCCATGGGTTCAATTTTTTTCTAATAATAGGAGGGTTTTTTGTTTTTGTTTTGGATAGAGCCTCACTCTGTCACCAAGGCTGGAATCCAGTGGCACAGTCGCAACTCACTGCAGCCTCAACCTCCCAAGCTCAAGCGATCCTCCCCACCTCAGCCTCCCAAATAGCTGGGATTACAGGCATCTGCCATCACACCCTGCTAATTTTTGCATTTTTTTTATAGAGATGGGGTTTTGCCATGTTGCCCAGGCTGATCTCATACTCCTGAACTCAAGTAATTCTTCTGCCTGGCCTCCCAAAGTGCTGGGATTACAGGTGTGAGTAGTATGGCCACTGCACTTAGCCCACACTAGGGTTTAATTTGCCTTTCCTGTGTGTTGATATTTACACTGATGGTTCAAAAGCAATGGTGGTTAAAACTACTGCTACCTTCGGCTGGGCACAGTGGCTTACACCTGTAATCCCAACACTTTGGGAGGCCAAGGTGGGTGTATCACCTGAGGTCAGGAGTTCGAGACCAGCCTGGCCAACATGGTGAAACCCTGTCTCTACTGAAAATACAAAAAATGGCTGGGTGTGGTGGTGGGCACCTGTAATCTCAGCTATTTGGGAGGCTGAGGCAGGAGAATTGCTTGAGCCAAGGGGGCAGAGGTTGCAGTGAGCAGAGATCGCGCCACTGCACTCCAGCCTGGGCAACAAGAGCGAGACACTGTCTCAAAACAAAACAAAAAAACCTGCTACCTTCATCAAAAAAAAGGCTCCAAATTGTATTATTAGTTATTGCACTATTCACCTCACATATGCACAACAACAAAAACCAATGAATACCCATAAAGCATTTATACTGTATAGAAGTATGATGGTTGTCTTGAGGAAAACAAGTTCTGTGATTGATTGAGTTTTGAGAAATAGGAACTCCTTTTTTCATGGAATATTATTAATTTCAAGTGCAATTGACAAACACTGATGATTTAAGCTTGGGGATTTCTAAGACAGATTCTTGAAAATGAAAGAAGCATGGTTTGTAACATTAAGTAAAATAACTAAGCCAGGCGAGGTGGATCGTGCAATCCCAGCACTTTGGGAGTCTGAAGCAGGAGAACTGCTTGAGCCCAGGAGTCTGAAACTAGCCTGGTCAGCATAGCGAGACCCGGTCTCTACAGAAGAAAAATTAAAAAATTAGTCAGGCATGGTGGTGCGTGCCTGTAGTCCCAGCTACTCGGGAGGCTGAGACAGAAAGATTGCTGGAGCGCCAGAGTTTGAGGCTGCAGTGAGCTATGATTATGCCATTGCACTCCAGCCAGGGCAACAGAGTGAGATCCTGTCTAAAGAAACAAACAAACAAAAAATAATGAATGAAAAGAAAAGATTAGAAAACTACTGAAAATGTACTTTCTAAATGATAAAATTTACATTTTTGTAAATTTTGTAATAATGAGCTTTACAGCTAAAATTAGAGCTTTTGGAGAAATTCTATCAACCATCATGATCTTGACAGCTTCCCAACATTTAAAAACTTTTCTAAAAACATTGGTGGCGATATTAACAATGCAAACATTTGATTTTTTTTTTTTTTAAGACAGTCTCGCTCTGTTGCCCAGACTGGAGTGTAGTGGCACAATCTCGGCTCACAGAAACCTCCGCCTCCCGGGTTCAAGAGATTCTCCTGTCTCAGCCTCCCAAGTAGCTGGAATTACAGGCGTGTGCCACCACACCTGGCTAATTTTTGTATTTTTAGTAGAAACAAGGTTTTACCATGTTAACCAGGCTGGTCTTGAACTCCTGACCTCAGGTGAACTGCCCACCTCGGCCTCCCAAAGTGCTGGGATTACAGGTGTGAACCACCACGCCCGGCCAACAGTGCACAATTATTAAGTATATTCACCAACCTGTGCAATAGATCTCAAAAAATCCAAATCTTCCCAAACTAAATCTTTATATTCATAAAACAATAACCACACTTTCTCCCCTATTTCTGGGACTCACAATTGTACTTTCTGTGTCTATGAACTTGACTACTTTAGGTACTTCATACAAATGGGATTCTGTAACATTTGTCCCTTTGTGACTGAATTATTTCACTTAGCATAATGTCTTCAAGGTTCACCTCTGTTGTAACGTGTCAGAATTTCCTTCCTTTTTAGGGCTAAATGGTGTTCCATTGTACATACATACCATATATTGCTTATCCATTCATTTATCAGTGGACATTTGGGTTGCTTCCACCTGTTGGCTATTGTGAATAATGCTTCTATGAATATAAATTGTGCAATATATTTTCTGGACCCTGCTTTCTATTCTTTGGGGCATACACCCTGAGGTGGAATTGTTGAATCGTATGGTAATTCTATGTTTAATGTTGTTGTTGTTGTTGTCTGAGACTAAGCCTCACTCTGACACCCAGGCTGGAGCGCAATGGCGTGATCTCAGCTCACTGCAACCTCTGCCTCCCGGGTTCAAGCGATTCTCCTGCCTCAGCCTCCAGAGTAGCTGGGATTACAGGCGCACACCATCATGCCTGGCTACATTTTGTATTTTTAGTAGAGATAGAGTTTTGCCATGTTGGTCAGGCTGTTCTCAAACTCCTGATCTCGGGTGATCCACCTGCGTCAGCCTCCCAAAGTGTTCGGATTACAGGCGTGAGCCACCACGCCCAGCATCTATGTTTAATTTTTAAAGAAAACACAAACACAGCAGTCACACCATGTTACTACATTCCCACTGGTCATGCACAAGGTGCCAACTTCTCCATGCCTTTACCAGCACATGTTACTGTGGTTTTGGATAGCAGTCATCCTAATGGGTATGTGAACCAAAAATATCTGAGACAGGTCTCAATCAATTTAGAAAGTTTAGGCCGGGCACGGTGGCTCATTCCTGTAATCTCAGCACTTTGGGAGGCTGAGGTGGGTGGATTGCCTGAGGTCAGGATTCAAGACCAGCCTAGCTAACATGGTGAAACCCCATCTCTACTAAAAATACAAAAATTAACCGGGCATGGTGGCAGGTGCCTGTAATCCCAGCTACTCAGAAGGCTGAGGCAGAAGAATTGCTGGAACCCAGGAGGTGGAGGTTGCTGTGAGCCAAGATCACGCCCACTACACTCCAGTCTGGGTGACAGAGCAAGGCTCCATCTCCAAAAAAAAAGTTTATTTTGCCAAAGTTAAGGACACTCCTGTGACACAGCATCAGGAGGTCCTGATGACATGTGCCCAAAGTGGTCAGGGGTACGGTTTGCTTTTATACACTAGGGAGACATAATATACATCAATCAATATGTATAAGATTTACATTGGTTTAGCTAAGCGTGGTGGCTCATGCCTGTAATCTCAGCACTTTGGGAAGCCGAGGCGGGTGGATCACGAGGTCAGGAGAACGAGACCATCCTGGCTAACACCGTGAAACCCTGTCTCTACTAAAAATACAAAAACAAAAATTAGCTGAGCATGATGGCGGGTGCCTGTGGTCCCAGCTACTCAGGAGGTTGAGGCAGGAGAATGGCGTGAACCTGGGAGATGGAGCTTGCAGTGAGCTGAGATGGTGCCACTGCACTCCAGCCTGAGCGACAGAGCAAGACTCCGTCTCAAAAAAAAAAAAAAGAAAAAAAAAAGATTTACATTGGTTTGATCTGGAAGGTGAGACAACTTGAAGTGGTGGGGGGAGGGGAGGTTCAAGGTCTTAAGTAGATTTTTAAATGTTCTGATTGGCATTTGGTTGAAAGAGTCGTTATTAATAGAAAGGAATGTCTAGGTTACAATAAAGGGTTCTGGAGACCAAGGTTTTACTGTGCAGATGAAGCCTCGAAAGTAGCAGGCTTCAGAGAGAACAGATTGTTAAATGTTTCTTATCAGACTTAAAGTCTGTGTTGATGTTAATGCTGGTCAGTTTTTCCTAAATTCCAAAAGGGAAGAGGGTGTAATGAGGCATGTCTGACCTGAACTAGTTTCTCAGGTTAACCTTGGAATGTCCTTGGCTAAGAGGAGGGGTCCATTCAGATGGTTGGGAAGACTTAGAATTCTTTTTTTGGTTTACAGGTGTGAAGTCCTATATCACTGTGGTTTTCTTGTTTGTTTGTTTGTTTTGAGACAGGGTCTCACTCTGTCACCCAGGCTGGAGTGTAGTAGCATGATCTCTACCTCCCAGATTCAAGTGATTCTTCCACCTCAGCCTCCCAGATAGCTGGAACTACAGGCATGAGCCACCACACCCAGCTAATTTTTGTATTTTTATTTTTTATTATTTTATTTATTTTATTTTTTTGTTTTTTTGGATGGAGTCTCACTCTGTCACCCAGGCTGGAGTGCAGTGGTGCAATCTTGGCTCATTGCAACCTCTGCCTCCCGGGTTCAAATGATTCTCCTGCCTCAGCCTCCTAAGTAGCTGGGACTCCAGACATGCACCACCACGCCCAACTAATTGTTGTGTTTTCTTAGTACAGATGGGGTTTCACCATGTTGGCCAGGGTGGTCTTGAACTCTTGACTTCAGGTGATCCACTCGCCTTGGCCTCCTAAAGTGCTGGGATTACAGGTGTGAGCCACCATGCCCAGCCAATTTTTGTATTTTTAGTAGAGACGGGCTTTCACCATGTTGGCCAGGCTGGTCTTGAGCTCCTGACCTCAGGTGATCGCCCTGAGTGCTAGGATTCCAGGTGTGAGCCACTGCACCTGGCCCCTATAAAAGTTTTGAAAAAAGGAGAAAAATTTCAGGACCTGGTGCTGGTGAAAAATTCTTAGACTTGATAACAAAGACAATACATAAAAGAAAAAACTGGTAAATTAAATATCATCAAAATTTAAAAAATAAAATTAAAAAATTAAAAATGTTTGCACTGTGAAAATTCTGTGTAAGGGATAAAAATGCTGCAGACTGGGGGAAAATATTTTCACACCACACATTTAACACTGAATTTGAATCTAGAATACATAAAGACTTTTTTAAAACTCAAAAACAGTCTGAGGTATAGGATACTGTGTGGGCTACAGTGCTGGGGACCTGGCCACACCAATGAGTCCAGCTGGTGTTACATCACTGCAGCCGTCCAGGAGGACATGAGGGGGATGTCAGTGGGGTTCCAGGAATGTGGAGATGCAGGAGCTTTTGGGCCCCAGGGCAGGATGCAGTCCGGCAGGTGCTTGCTCTGAAAATGGTGTCCTTGGAGGTTGGACACAGTGGCCCACGCCTGTAATCCCAGCACTTTGGGAGGCCAAGGCCGGTGGATCACTTGAGGTCAGGAGTTCAAGACCAGCCTGTCCAACATGGTGAAACTCTGTTTCTACTGAAAAAAAAAAAAAAAATACAATTAGCCAGGCATGGTGGCAGAAGCCTGTAATCCCAGCTACTCAAGAGGCTCAGGCAGGCGAATCACTTAAACCAAGTAGGTGGAGATTGCAGTGAGCTGAGATTCTACCACTGCACTTCAGCCTGGGTGACAGAGTGAGACGCTGTCTCAAAAAAAACAAACAAAACACTGTTCAGTAGTTTTGAGTTTTTTGGGGGAGCATTGAGGGGTTTGAGACAAGTCTTACTGGGATTATAGGCACAGGCCACCATGCCCAGCTAATTTTTATATTTTTAGTAGTGACAGGGGGATCTCATCATGTTGACCAGGCTGGTTTCAAACTCCGGAGCTGAGGAATCCTCCCACCTTGGCCTCCCATAATGCTGAAATTACAGGCATGAGCCACCACACGTGGCCTCTGTTTAGTACTTTTAGTTAACATGCAGTTACTATATAACCCAGAAATTACATTCCTAGCTATCTATTTAACGTAAACGAAAACATATGTCTACAAAAACACCTACATAAGAATGTTAATAGCACCTTTATCAAAATAACCTAAAACTATAAACAACATGTCCAACAAGAGGGCGATAAACAATCTGCGGTATATTTATTCAAAGAAGACTAGTTAGCAATGGAGGAGTTTGTTTATATATGAAACAGAGTGGATGAATCTCAAAGTCAAGATACTGACTAGAAAAAGCCAGACACAAAATTATCTGTACTATTTGATTTCATTCACGTGAAACTTCAGAAAAGGCAAAGCTATTCCAGGGCAAGAGGAATTTGAACAGTGTTTGCCATTAAGATGAGAAGGCTGACTTGAAAGGGGCCTGAAGAAACTTTCTGGATTTAAATGTTGGTAAAAGCTCATTAAAATCTCTGCATTTTCCTGTGTACATTATATGTTGATTTTAAAAATAATGTTACACAAAGATAAAGCATAAGTTGCCTGACACATTACTTCTCAGAAACCCAACAGGGCTTTTTGTAATCTGTTTCTTTTTCTTTTTTTGAGATGGAGTTTCACGGTTTTTGCCCAGACTGGAGTGCAGTGGCATGATAGGCTCACTGCAACCTCCACCTCCTGGGTTCAAGCAATTCTCCTGCCTTAACCTCTCAGGTAGCTGGGATTACAGGCATGTGCCACTATGCCGGCTAATTCTGTATTTTTAGTAGAGATGGGGTTTCACCATGTTGGCCAGGCTGGTCTTGAACTCCTGACCTCAGGTGATCTGCCCACCTCGGCCTCCCAAAGTGCTGGATTACAGGTGTGAGCCACTGAGCCCAGCCTAAGTCTGTTTCTTTTCTTCCCTTTTCTTCCTTTTTTGAGACAGGGTCTCGCTCTGTCACCCAGGCTACAGTGCAATGGCATGAGCATGGCTCACACTGCAGCCTCAACCTCCCAGGCTCAAGCAATCCTCCCAACTTAGCCTCCCAAGTAGCTGGGACTACAGATGCACACCACCATGCCTGGCTAATTTTTGTATTTTCTATAGAGATGAGGGTCTCACTACATTGCCCAGGCTGGTCTCAAACTCCTGGTCTCGAGCAGTCCTCCCACCTCAGCCTCCCAAAATGCTGGGATGACAGGTTTGAACCACTGCACCTAGCCGGTTTGCCTTTTGAGGAATGGCCACACTGTTTTTCAGAGCAGCCACAACCCCTACCAGCAATGTATGTGTTCCAGTTTCACCACCTTGCCAAAACTTATATTCTGTTTTTGGTTTTTCAGTAGCCATCCTAGTAAGTATAAAGTGGTAACTTTGCATCTTATTTCCCATTTGTATATTTTCTTTGGAAAAATGTCTATTCAAGTCCTTCATCCATTTTAGTTATTTCTCCTTTTTGCTGTTGAGTTGTAGGAGTTATTTATGTATTTTGGATATCATACCTTTATCACATATACAATTTGAAAATATTTTCACCCATTCTGTAAGTTGTCTTTTCACTTTCTTGATATTCTTGATATTGTCCTTCGATATGCCACTGCCACACAGTTTTGATTACTGTAGCTTTGTAGAAAGCTTTGAAACTGGGGAGTGCTGCCGATGCCCCGGTGGAGAAGCTGAGGTCAACATCAGATTTGAAATATTTAAAGTGGATACAAAACTATTTCAACAATGCAGACAATTAAGTGTGTTGTTGTGGGCGATGGTGCTGTTAGTAAAACATGTCTCCTGATATCCTACACAACAAATAAATTTCCATCAGAATATGTACCAACTGTTTTTGACAATTATGCAGTCAGTTATGATTGGTGGAGAACCATATACTCTTGGGCTTTTTGATACTGCAGAGCAAGAGCATTATGACAGATTACTACTACTGAGTTATCCACAGACAGATGTATTTCTAGTCTGTTTTTCAGTGGTCTCTCCACCTTCATTTGAAAATGTGAAAGAAAAGTGGGTTCCTGAGATAACTCACCACTGTCCAAAGCCTCCTTTCTTGCTTGCTGGGACCCAAACTAATCTCAGAGATGACCCCTCTATTATTGAGAAACTTTCCAAGAACAAACAGAAGCCTGTCACTCCAGAGACTGCTGAAAAGCTGGTCCATGACCTGAAGGCTGTAAGGTATGTGGAGTGTTCCGCACTCACACAGAAAGGCCTAAAGAATGTATTTGACGAAGCAATATTGGCTGCCATGGAGCCTCCAGAATTGAAGAAGAGCCGCAGGTGTGTGCTGCTATGAACATCTCTCCAGAGCCCTTTCTGCACAACTAGTGTCGGCATCATACTAAAAGCAGTGTTTAAATCAAACTAAAGATTAAAAATTAAAATTCATTTTTGGAATAATGACAAATGCCCTGCACCTACCCACATGCACTCATGTGAGACAAGGCCCATAGGCATGGCCCTTCCCCCTCCCAGGACTAGTTAATTTTGAGTTATTGTGTATTGTCAGAAAAGTGATTAGTACTAGTTTTTGTTTTGTTTCAAAAAATTTTTCTGTTGTTGTTTAAAAGCAAGGCATGGGCCGAGCGCAGTGGCTTACGCCTGTAATCCCAGCACTTTGGGAGGCTGAAGTGGGCAGATCATGAGGTCAGGAGGTTGAGACCATCCTGGCTAACACGGTGAAACCCTGTCTCTAGTAAAAATATAAAAAATTAGCTGGGCATGGTGGCACGTGCCTCTAGTCCCAGCTAATTGGGAGGCTGAGGTAGGAGACTCACTTGAACCCAGGAGGGGGAGGTTGCAGTGAGCTGAGGTTGCACCATTGCACTCCAGCCTGGGTGACAGGGCAAGACTCTATCTCACACACACACACAAAAAGCAAGGCATGCTTGTGGATGACTTTGTAATAAACTAACTGCAGTTGTTGAAGCTGCTCCCTGGTTCCACTCTGGAGAGTAATCTGGGACATCTTAGTGTTGTTTTTTTTCTCCTCTTCTTTGGGGGCAGTGTGTGTGGGGTTTGTTTTTCAGTACTGTTTTTTTTAATTCATTAACCAGTGGATAGCCCTTAAAGGGAGGAGGACAGAATGATTCCACATTCCACTTCCTAGATCTAGTTGAGAAACCATGCTCCTCATCCGGTGCTCTTAGGAAGGAGTATAGGAAATGCCTCATTTAGTAACATGCTCCTTTTTGAAAGTTGCCTTTTCTCTCCACCCTCGAGTAGATTCAGTATTTGATGAAACTCATGAAAGTGGGTGGAGCCTGTCTTGCCCGTTCTCTTTTCTAGGATGCACTGTAGGTGACTGTGACTTTCAAGGACATTTGTTTGCCATTTGCTGATTTTTGGGGGAAGTTAATTTCTAACCTCTTTCACTGGTAAATGAAGAAAAGTATTGCACCTTTGAAATACACCAAATGAATCAAATGAATTGAGTTTGTAATGAAAATTTTTTTTCCCTGTCAGTCATTGTCTTATATGCTTGGCATAGATTTGCAACTCAGTAGTATATGGTGTTCCTAGAATGCAGCTGAAGAACTGGTATGTAGAGGAAATAGGAGGGGTGGGTGGTGCTATAAGACAGACATCTGTGGAATGATTCACATCCTCTCAAGTTAGGAGGATGGAGGCCTGCTTCATTAAGAAGCTGGAGGTAGGGTGGGGATGTGGAGAACACTTAACAACATGGGGACCAGTCAGGGGAATCCCCTTATTTCTGTTTTGCATATGAGGAACCCTAAAGCAGCCAGGTAAGGCTCTCTAGTTTAATAAAAATCATGGAGACTTTTTTTTTTTTTTTTTGTGACACGGAGTCTCGCACTATCACCCAGGCTGGGGTGCAGTGGCCACGATCTTGGTTCACTGCAAGCTCCACCTCCTGGGTTCATGCTATTCTCCTGCCTCAGGCTTCCGAGTAGCTGGGACTACAGGTGCCTGCCACCACACCCGGCTAATTTTTTGTATTTTTAGTAGAGAAGCGGTTTCACTGTGCTAACCAGGATGGTCTCGATCTCCTGACCTCGTGATCTGCCCACCTTGGCCTCCCAAAGTGCTGGGATTACAGGCGTGAGCCACCAAGCCTGGCCTTTTTTTTTTTTCTTTTTTTTGAGACGGAGTTTCGCTCTTGTTGCCCAGGCTGGAGTGCAATGGCTCTCAGCTCACCGCAACCTCTGCCTCCTGGGTTCAAGCAATTCTCCTGCCTTATCCTCCCGAGTAGCTGGGATTACAGGCATGCGCCACCACGCCCGGTTAATTTTATATTTTTAGTAGAGATGGGGTTTCTCCATGTTGGTCAGGATGGTCTCAAACTCTTAACCTCAGGTGATCCACCCGCATCGGCCTCCCAAAGTGCTGGGATTACAGGCGTGAGCCACCACGCCCAGCCGGAAAGAGTCTTATGAAGACTCTCCATAAGTGTTAATAGGGATTTTATTAGTTTATTTTGATTGCAGTTTCTAATTTTTAAAAACATTGAAGTAATTTTTTCCACCTTCCCAATCCTAATTCTTATAGATTCATTCTTGTTGAACTAATGCTTTCTCATGTCTCAATTCTTTGTATATACATTGTTTTCAGATGTATTAAACAAAAACCCTTTAAAAAAGAAAAAAAAAAGCAAGCTTTGGAATTGGGAAGTGTGATTCCTCTGACTTTGTAATTCTTTACAAGCTTTTAGCTATTTGGAGCCCTTTATAATTATTCCATATGGATGTAAGCATTGTCTTACTTATTTCTGCATAAAAGGCTGTTGGGATATTGACTAGAATTATGTTGAATCTACAGATCACTTTGAGTAATCTTGACATGTTAACAATACTGAGTCTTCCTACCCATGACATGATGTCTTTCTGTTTAGCCCTTCTTTAATTTATTTTAGCCACATTGTGTTCTTTTTAGTGTATAAGCCATTCACCTCAAATTTATCCTATGTATTTTATTTTATTTTATTTTTTATTTTTATTTTTTGAGATGGAGTCTCATTCTGTCTCCCAGGCTGGAGTGAAGTGGCACGATCTTAGCTCACTGCAACCTCTGCCCTCCAGGTTCAGGCGATTCTCCTGCCTCACCCTCTCAAGTAGCTGGGACCACCATCCCCGGCTAATTTTTGTATTTTTAGTGGAGATGGGGTTTCACTATGTTGGCCAGGCTGGTCTTGAACTCCTGACCTCAGGTGATCCGCCTGCTTTGGCCTCGCAAAGTGCTGGGATTACAGGGGTAAGCCACTGCTCCCGGCCTGTATTTTACTTTTTAGATGCTATTGCAAATGGAATTACTTTCTTAACTTTTTTGTTTATTTATTTCAATTGTATGGAAACATAATGGGTTTTTGTGCATATGTTAATCTTGCATCCTGCAACTTTGCTGAATTCATTTATTAGCTCTAGTAGCCTTTCATGGATTCTTTTGGATTTGCTATATATTTGGGATATGTATTCTCATCTGCAAATATAGTTTGACTACTTCCTCTCCAATTTTGATACTTTTCATTTTTTTAATTGTCTAATTGTTCTTGTTGAAACTTCTAGTAGAATATTGAATAGCAGTAGTAAAACAGGGCATTAAAAACCTTCCCACAAAGTTAAGTCCACGAAAAAATGGCTTCACTGGTGAATTCTACCAAACATTTCAAAAAGAATTAACAGCAATCCTTCTCACACTCTTCCAAAAGGGAAAGAGGAAAAAACAATTCCTAACTCATTCTGTGAGGCCAGTATTATCCAAATATTAAAGCCAAATAAAAACATCATAACAGGCTGGGCATGGTGGCTCACACCTGTAATCCCAGCACTTTGAGAGGCTGAGGTGGGAGGATTGCTTGAGCCCAGGAGTTTGACCAGTCTGGGCAACACAGTGAGACTGCATCTCTACAAAAAATAAAAAATTAGCTCAGTGTGGTGATATATGCCTGTGGACCCAGCTACTCAGGAGGCTGAGATGGGAGAATAGCTTGAGCACAGGAGGTTGAAGCTTCAGTTAGCCATGATCGTGCCACTGCGCTCCAGCCTGGGTGACAGAGCAAGACCCTGTCCTCTGCTACCAAAAAAATAGTGTTTTGTTTTTAATTGTTTTAATGTTTTAATTGCATATGTTTGCAAATTTTTCAGTTTTCTTGTGCTTATTGATATCTGGCATCACTCCATTGTGATCATAAAAGATACTTTGTATAATTCAATATTTTAAAAATGTATTATGTGTTTTATGACCCAACATATGGTCTATTTTGAAGAATGTCACCCTTTCTCCCAAATGTTTATTTTTGTTTCTTTTTTTGTTTGTTTTTGAGAGACTAAGTCTCACTCTGTCGCCCAGGCTGAAGTGCAGTGGTGCAGTTTCAGCTCACTGCAACCTCTGCCTCCTGGGTTCAAGTGATTCTCCTGCCTCAGCCTCCCAAGTAGCTTGGATTACAGGCGCATGCTGCCACACTAATTTTTGTGTATGTTTTAGTAGAGACAGGGTTTCTCCATGTTGGCCAGGCTGGTCTCGAACTCCTGACCTCGTGATCCACCCGCCTCGGCCTCCAAAAGTGCTGGGATTACAGACGTGAGCCACTGCGTCCAACCTTTTATGTTTTTCAGACAGTCTCACTCTGTTGCCCAGGCTGGAGTGCAGTGGCTCGATCTCAGCTCACTGCAACCTCCCCCTCCCAGGTTCAAGCAATTCTCCTGCCTCAGCCTCTTAAGTAACTGGGACTACAGGTGCACATCACCACGCCTGGCTAATTTTTGTATTTTTGTAGAGATAAGGGTTTCACTATATGTTGATCAGGCTGGTCTTGAACTCATGACCTCAGGTGATCTGCTCACCTCAGCCTCCCAAAGGGTTGAGATTACAGGTGTGAGCCACTGACCCCAGCTTCAATACCTATTTGGCAATGGCCAGGCCAGAACCTGTCACTCCCAAGCCTAAGAATGCTCACTGACTCTTCCCTGTGCACAGAAGCAAACCCTGGCTCTTGGATATGGTGCTCTGGGCCTGACACCTCAGCTGTCTTGTGATGCCCCTGCTCCCTGTCACTCACCCTCCCAGGATCACCTGCCATGCTCTTTGGTCATTTGCAAGCTCCTATATGATAAGTTTACCTCTCCCTCTATCTCCCAAACAGAACACTCACCTCTGCTTGTTGAAATCCCAGCCAAATACAGCACAGGCATAGATTGGAGGTCCTTCTTTCCAGGAAAACTTTCCTAACTCCTGTTAATTCATATTTAGTCTTCTTTCTTTTTTTTTCTTTTTTTGGAGACAGGGTCTCACTCTGACACCGGGGCTGGAGTGCAATGACGCGATCTCGGCTCACTGCACTCTCCGCCTCCCAGGTTCAAGTGATTCTCCCGCCTCAGCCTCCCAAGTAGCTGGGATTACAGGCACGTGCTGCCAGGCCCTACTTTTGTATTTTTAGTAGAGTTGGGGTTTCGCCACATTGGCCAGGCTGGTCTCAACTCCTGACCTCAGGTGATACACCCACCTCACCCTTCGAAAGTGCTGGGATTACAGGTGTGAGCCACCGCACCTGGCCCAGTCTTTCTTCTTCCTGCTGCAATGAAACTTGATTTA